ACGATAATTTTTAAAAAACTAATCAAATAAAAATTTTCATTATATGCCTAAACAATTAAATTTTTAATATTTTTAAATGATCCGTTGGAAAAATGTTAAGTATTAACAGTTATTMGTTTTTTATTTACACCAAAAACAGACATTAATAAATTCATTCACTTAGAATTTGAAATGTATAAGAAATAAGTAAAAAGGTCGCTACAAGTTGGTACTTATTCACCACAAGGTGTTCTAAATCTGATACCACAAATTTATTTGAAACGATATACCTATAAGAACGTGATTTACTGTGTGTGAATGTTACCAAAAATATACCGTCTCAATTAGCTTCCGTACGCCAACTCATTKGACGCAGAATCTAGACATTTTTTTAATAAATATTTACATATATAAATGATATAATCCTCTATACAATAGATTCCTCAAGCCCATATCGTTTAAGTAGGTACCTACAGGTACTCACTCGAATCTCGTTCTCTAGCTTTTCAAGCGTTTTTTTTTTCTGTAGCCACATGCTATTGAGTTTTTCGTATGTCTCCTCTAGAATGACCTTTTCCTTGTACTCCTCACCTACATCAAACACACATTAATTTAAAAGATTGTGATGGTAACCGAGACCTAAGCAAACTGACTAGCTGGGTTAACAGAAGACATTCCGGACTTATAACAGCTGTTGTTGGCGTTGAGCACATGCAACGTGTTCTCCATGGCCCGGATCTCGGTCTCCAGTTTTTGCACGCGCTCATCCAGCCGATCACCAGTTTCCTGTAGTTCAAGCTTTTCCTGGGCCACCCGGATTCGGTGCTCGCTCATTTTGAACGAAGATAGGTCTTCATCATCGCCATCACAATCGTCATCACCACTACCCTCCAAGGTCGGCCGAGACGAGGGACCTCCCATTGTAGACAACAGTATCTGGTGCTTAGTTTTCCGTTGTTCGATGTACTGGATTATCGAGTCTAATTTGCGTTTTATCGTTGACTTTTCATCAGACAGCAATTTTTTCTCGTCGCTGATCCGCTTGTAAATTTCCGCCACTTCCTTTTTCCTATTGTTTATGCCCTATATGTACGAGCGAAACGAGATTCTCATAATATTTCAATATATAATGCATTTCAAGTTTAAACATTAAATTTTAATTTGACTTTTTATTTTAATTTAAAGTTGTCATCGTAAAATTTTGTCATTCTCTAGTCTCTAATTTGATAAGTTATGAAAACGTGTACCTACCGCAGTTAATTCTTCACGCTGCTGAGCTAATGAATATACTTTATCGCATTCATTGTTCGTCAACTTCTTCATTTGTTCTATCTTAAGCTTCACCATCATTTCTTCCATGTGATACCGATGATTGGTTTCCTTTAAGACTTGAATTTGTTTTACACCTATTATTATACAAGGAAACAAAAGTAAAATGCCATTATAGTTTAACCTCAAAAACATCAATGGAACAAATAGCAGTCGTATCGCACCTCCTTCATTAGTAACGTTCAATTCTTCTACTCGGTTTCGAAGCATTTCTAATTCTGAAGTATTTTTTTCGATTTGTTTAGTTATACGTCTGGTTTCACTCTAAAACTCATAATATTCTCTTTATTTTAAAGACACATACTCGTATATGTATATATAATATATATATTTATTTTATCGTCACCCACTTCAGTCGACTTTAACTGCTTTTCCAACTGATGCTGGTGATCGGTGGCCTGGTTTAATTCTTCGTTGCACTTTTGCAACTTTTCTTGCATAACTTTCATCTCTTCGATATCCGTAGTTCCCTTGGCTTCAGCAATTCCTATACGTATAGTTTCGAGCTGAAAGCTCTAAAATAATCGCTGTGTTAAATCTGTATAGGTACATTATTTTTTTTGATATTGTAATCCTATTACCAAGTTATATACGATTTCTTTTTTTTCCAAAATTAATTTTTTTGATTTCGATTCTTCTTTACTCAGTATACTTTGTTTGTTACAAATTCGTTCTAATTGACTTGTCAACAAATCAATGTTAATTTTTTCCTGGCTTATCTCATTTCGTACGTTATATGCAATATTAAGCAATTTATTTTTTTCCGATAAGAATTTTTCTGCTTCAACTTTTTTTTGCTAAAACAAGAATAACCAAAAATTACCAAGTAATTTTTAATAATAAATTATATTTTTTTTAAATTTAAAATCAAACGACTGTACGTTATAGATCGAATTCAGTTCATTTAACCTCTCCTCCGTAGTCATAGATTGATTTTTGATTTTAGTCAAATCATCCTTTATTTTTGCTAAGCCATTTTCCTTTTGTTGTATCTGGGTTTTTAATTTTGTTAATTCATTTTCCATATGCTTACGTTTTGTACGCTCATTTTCTAACTTATTACCCATAACACTAAGRGCTTTTTGAACCGACAACACCTATAAACATTGTAAGGAAATAATTACCTTGATAGCAAGCTATGTACATAAAAAATATATTAAATTTTAAATCTTAACCTCTGATTGTAAATCTTCAGTTTCTGAAAGTTTATTCAGGGTTGATAATTTCAGCTCATTATTGACTTTATTTACTTCTTCTATTTTATATTCTAACTCTTCATTTTTCTCTAAATATTCTTGATACTTTTGTTTATTTTCATTCATTTTATCAAACACTTCACGAGCAGCTAATCTAATTTTATTAATTTCCTGAAATTGTCAATAATTATTAATATTTTGAATGATAATTACATTTCAAAAAAACTGACTTCGACRGTATTCTGTGAATCTTTCTGATTAGAGTTCAAAAAATTAGCTGCATTTTCCCACTGTTCAAGTCTGTGGTTTCTTTCATGTTGTGCTTGCCTAGTTAACTTAGAAGTTTGTTCCAGCTCTCTTTCTACTTGAAGGAGTTCATCTACTTCTTTTTCCACGATCAACTCTCTTTCAATAACATCCTGTTGAAGGCGCTGTCTTCGTAATTCCAATTCCTGAATTATACAAATTACATAAATGTATATATTTAAAACTATTTATGCTACGATATATCTATACCTTAAACCTGTTATTATCCTCTAAATGATATGTCTCGAGAATATTAACATCTGTACATCGTTTAACCAAGTCATTATTCCACGCCAAAAGCGTTTCTTCRCCCCATTCGATAGTTTCCCTCATTTTTTTTATTTGTTCTTCAGTTTTTTCCAGCTCATTCTAAACAATTTCATTTATAAGGATATGTAATATAATAAACATATAATTAATTCCTAATTAGTTTTAAATTAAATTTCATCAATATAAATGTGTAACAGTAAAGATCTAATGTAATGGTACCTATCTATAACTATACTTATACACAACTTGCGTGTTGTGCATTGATTTATTTTAAAATTAATTAAATATTAATTAACATAAAGATGATATAACTCCTAAATCGTGAAACACTTTTATTAAAATCCCAATGACTATTTTTTAATATATTATACAACATATATCCATTAATAAWCTATGAAATGATTAGTTTAATTATATTTATTATTTAAAAACTATAATTATATTACACAATGAAACAATGAATTATTGAGTTAATTTTTACCGGACTATATATATATATAAAGTATTGTTAGATATTCTGGCTATCCTACATTCCTAATTCAAAAAATAAAAAGCGGGTAAGTGGATGTCGTTCTGCTGTCTTCAGGTACCTACAATACTTTACAAGTAGAAGTAGGTTACTGTAATGGATGGTATTAAATTTGAATTCCATAATAAAATGTCGTTGTATACGAACAATCCTGAAGACAGTTGTCAGTCTAGGATCAGTTATATTAACTATATTTTTATTTTTTATTATTGATTATAAGGCTTCAATAGTCTGCGGTAGGTTTACATTGTTAAATAGTTGGGAATTACATGATTATTAACTATATTGCTATTATTTAAAAAAATGAAGATACCTATAAAATAAACTTCAAATTAATCAAATTAGATTCATTACGTATCTCATTAACTCGGTCGTTCAAAGTAGCCAGTAGGATTAGGTACACAATTTATTATAAAATATTAATAGGTATAATGGTTAACGACATTAACTATTAATATTAGAATATAAAAATAAACTCGATACATTTTAAATACCTACGAATATTATTTTTAAATTACAATAATATTGAATTTTGAATTTTAATAAATTTTTATGAATTTCTAAATCAAAATAAATTGCAAATTTTCGGAATTTTTACGTAATTTGTCAAAATACGAACTTTCAATGCTTATTTTAAAAATGTGTATTAAATAACAATGCATTTTTTATATTTTTTAACTACCATTACAACAATATAATAGAAGCCTTATATTAAATTGTATAGCTTTTTTACCAACCGAATAAATTKTATTGTCATTTATATAAAAAAAAAAAACTAAAATGTTTGAAAATTTCAAACGTCTATAAATATTTAATGATAGTAGATGCCCAGATGCCCAAAAAAGTATAAACAATAGTCGATCACAGTTCTGGTTAATAGAGTTAAACAGACCAAAMGCTGTATCATGGGGTTTGCAATGTTTGCAAACGTTTTAGGTTTCATTAAGTAAACAGACAGTCCGAATTTTTCTTTTTTTAAACGTTTGCAACGCTTTCCGCTATAGAATTTCCTCTATATTAATATTATGACTAGAATAAACACTATAGTCTATAGTCATAACTCATAATCATTAGATACTCAGATACCTGAAAATGTTGTATCGCGTATGGTGAATGAAATGCTGTAGGCAATTAATCACTAATAAGTTGCAGAAAATGTCTTTTACCAATGTATTTTCTTAATCTTTTTAATATTTGTAAACATTGATGAAATATATGCATTATGTAATATAAATAGGATATATAAAAATCTGGTTCAAAATTAAAAACTCAGAATCTAAAATAAAATTAATCTAAAGATGTATTTACTGACAAACTAAAGTAAAAACTGAAGCTTAAAAAGTCAGATAAATATTAATCAAGAAATCATATAACATCAATATAAATATATATAATATTTGTCTTACATCAAAACATTTTTGTTTGTATATATCTTTTCGACAATTATATTTAATGTCATTATGCTTCTAAATTCAGATCAGAATGAAAGAATAATATTATATCGATTTTACAATGATGTGTGTTAATTAATTAATTAATTTTTGTTTTTTGGGTTAGTATCTATACATGATAAGTTGTCGAAATAAACCTTCAATTTTAATGTTCAGTAATTTAAATAAGCAATTTGGTAAAAAATAAAAATGCACAGTAGTTTTCAAAAGCGTCGAAAAACAATAATTTTTTTTTATAATTTTTTTTTTTTTTGAAAAAACCCATTGAAGATAGGTATTTTAAATTATCACCAAATTTTAATATGACCATTTTCCAAATATGGTAAAATAAATTCATTTAACTATKTGAACCTTTTGAATATAAATATAATATATGCAATTAAAAATAAAAAGAARTCATAAAAAATTTTTATCATCAGATAAGACTATTTCGTACAACATGTTTTCACAAATTATTGTTTAATGTGGGTATGAAAAATTGGTTATTATCGTTTTATTTTAACAATTTTACGTTACAACAATTCCCAAATATTTTGTACAACGCAAAAATTAATTTACCGTAATTTAAGTCAAATTTTAAACAAAAATGCGCTAAATATACCCAATAAAATAAAAATAATAAATACCCCAAATATGCAAAATAAATCTTCATATACTTATCCATGGTACCTTGAAATGGATTTCTATGTCAACTACGACTAAATATTTCATAACAGGATTGATATACAAATGCATAAACATATGAACTCTGCTTATAAGTATAATATTCTATAATCATTTTAATATAAATTCTAAMATTTTTTATTATTATTTTTACAAAATGTACTTACAATAATTCATCAAAAAGATTTTTTGTTGTAATTTATCTCCATAAAATATTAGTTATACCTATAGGTTATCCTAAAT